TTCTGGCCCAGGAGAAGGCTAATGTTGTTGGAGCCTTGGCTAATGTGGGCAGGGCACTGGATGCCAGTTAGGCTGCTGAAATCTGATCAGGGCCTGCTGTCAGCCTCCTTGAGTGAGGAGGGCAGGGGAGCTGTGCTGTTTGAAGGGGTGCAGATAAGAAATGGGCCTCCTGTCAAATAGAACATGATTAATTACCCTCTCTCCTGGCTCCTGCTTGGAGAGCAGTGTCTAATGGGCTGCAGACTTGAGGATCAGATGGTGCCATTCCTGTTGGGAGGTGAGAATGCTGCTGTGGGAATGCCATGGCAAGGGGGAGAGATCAGGTTGGGAGGAGAGAGCTGCTTTCACTTCTGGAGCCCTTTGCTTTCCATTTTGACACTGAGTGACCCAAACCACCAGGTAAAACTGGTGCAGAGGAGCTGGGCTGGCTGAACAGGCTGCAGCCAGGCAGGATTTGTCCTTGGACAGGGATCCAAGCAAACCAGGAGCTGAGGCAGCACAGGGTTCAAGTTGATTTGTTCATGTTCTGCACTGTAGAAGTGAATCTTCCCTCTGTTTAGCTTGGGAGATCACACATTCACCAACTAATTACTCCGCATCCTTTCCAAAAACATAAAGATCTCTTCAAGATTTGTTTCAATGCTATTTTAATTCACTTTGGCTTTCCCAGCTTCCTGGGGAAAACTTGTTCCTTTTGGCTGTCTCGTCTAGTTTCTCTTCTTGAACATATTTAGAGAGGAAAGAACAGCTTTTTCTGTACCTGTTACAGCCTTAAAAATGACTATTTTTCACTCCAGAATGTACTTTATTGCAGTTGAACAGGTAAATATTTGGGCTTCTCACCTCCTTTGTTGCTTCCTATAAAATGGACACTCCTGCAGGTAAATTGGAGAGGAAAAATGGGAGGGGATTGGAAAAGCAGTGCTGCAGGCTAGGTGTAATTAAGGGCTCTTTGTCTCCTGCTTGCGGGACAAGTCTTGGCTTAGGCTGCTTGATGGTGGGGAAATCCCTGCAGTGGGGAGAGTGGCCCTTGGCAGGGGATCTCTCTCCTGCAGGACTGGGAAAACCAAGCAAAATAAAAGAGAATTTATATCCTAGGATTTGGTTCAAAACAGGCTTTGGGGCAGTTTTCCTCAATCTGCATCTCCAGGCTGAGATCTAACTCCCAAGTGTGGCTAAAATAGGGTGAAGAAGAGGAAAACAAAACTCCCTTAGGCAGTGTGGTTGGATGGGTGAGGAAGATGATGGTCCAAAGCTTAGTCCCTTTCAGCAAGGGCCAAGCTGAGCCCCAGCACTGAGTGAGGGACAGAACCTGAGGGTACTGATGGCTCAGCCAAATCCCTTCCCCAGGAGCTGGTTCCTGGGAGTAAAAACAGCCATCCAGAGGTTTTCTGGGCTTCACAGCTTCCTCAGCCCCTTGAATAGCTCTTGAAGGCTCAAAGGCAAACCGTTGCTCCCTCTGCCTCTCCAGAGCAGGGGACATAGGGCACATTGAGGCCACTCCATATAAACCCTTGAGGCTTCTGTTCTGTCTGCTTGGAACAGAAGAGGCTTTTGAAGGGGGTGAAATTCCCTTGAAGGACAGAGATGTTTATAGCTCCAGTCAGACTTCCTCCAGGGAAAGTCTTTATTCCAGCAATCTGAATTGTAGTTACAGCTGTCTTTCTCCTCAGAAAACCAGGAGCCTGTGGGCTATGGGATGTCTCTTCTTTCCCCTTCCAGACTTTGTCTACCCTAGAGTTTGTCTTCCTGAGCTTTCTCATGTTTAGCAGCTCTGCATCTTCCCCTTTCCAGTGGAAATAGACTCCTTATGCCCCCTATTTGGCTGATTCCTTGCAGGAATGAGCCACACTTACATAGTTCTATGTTAATAAGGTTCTATTAAAAGGAAGAAAAGTTGTTTTCCAAGAAAACTAGGAGAGGAGTCAGTCATCTCCCTCTTAGAGTCAGGCAGGGCTTGGGGCATACAGGATTTCAGGGAGCCGACAGGAGAGGGAGGCTTGGAAGTACAGTAAAATGAGTTTGCCATCAAAAGGCAACAAGTCTTATGCTGTGCCCCAGGCTGCTGACCTTTCCCTCTGGAATTCTCCCCTCTGACCTCAGGATCATTAATCCTGATGCTGCCAGATGACAGTAATCCATCATGGCCCCTGACAGGCCTCGCAGCCTGTGAAAGGATCCGCTCAGCTCCGGCAGCCAATCCTCCCATGACACTCGTTTTCCAGCCTTTCCTGTTGGAGCTCTGGGGGTTTCCAATAAAGACTTTATCGCCTCAGCTTTACTCTGAGAGGAGAGGGCTGGGGGAGGAGAGGGCAGGCAGATCCTAGGGAACACTCCAAGCCACAGCTTGCTCTGGAAAATACAGTGAATTTACCAGCTCCAAACCCCTTTGCTCCCTCTGGGGGATATGAGCTGGAGTGGTGCTAGGAGAAAGCATGGAAAGACTGATTCCACCTCTATACTTAAGAGTGGGAGAAGGATGGAAGTGGTTTTGTCCCTGCTGTAAAGTTTCTCAGCTGTATAAAACTTGTATGAATGGAAAACCAAACTGGAGGTTTAAGCTGAGTTTGTACATTTTTATTCTGTGTCTAAAGATATTTATAAATGGGTATTTATATATCAATAGCTGTTTAGATGAGTTTGTATGTAGCTGAGTGTATAAATGAGATTTCAGGACACTTGGGGCTGGTTTCAAAGCAAACTGAGGAAGGGAAGGTGTGCAAGGGGTGGGGAGGTGAGGCAGGAGGTCAGACTCCCTGGAAGTGTTTAAGCCTTTATTTCCCACCCATGTGGATGATGTTTGAGCCTTTCACAGCAGCATTTGGATAAATCTCCTTATGTATTTTTCCAGCTGCTGAGCTGAGAGAATCTAGAGAAGAGGAAAAGTGTCTTTCAGAAAAAAGTAATCTATTAAAAAGTAGATGTTTCTTGATATTTTCTGTATTAGCAGCTTGTTTGCCTGAGGAGTCTCATCCGTGACCCTTCCCTTTCACTCTCCATCTGCTCAGTGTCCAAGGAGAGCTGGATGAAAGTCCCTTCTGGATAAGTTAATGCTATTCCCTAAATTGGATTGGGGAAAAGTGGGTGGCTTTGAGGGGCACCAGGTTGCTGGAGGAGTGGGGGGAGAGGGGCTCAATCCTCCCTCAGCCTTGTGCCTTTAATTATATGAATGAAGGAGCATTTTAGGGGGTCAAACCCACCCCTGGCTCTGCCTGGAGACCTGGGAGAGAACTATTTCCCTCTTTCCTTTTGGCTGTGACTCTGGTTTTGCTGTGGCTCAGCTGATGAATGATAACTTAAGGCTGGTAACATGATCACTCCAGTGGCTCTGATCCACACTGGTGCTGTGCTCTTCATCTCTGCAGTAACATTCCAAGACAAAATGGAGGCTCAGGAAAAACTAGAGCAAACTGAGGATTTTGGGGAAGAACCAGGATGGATGGATGGATGGAGCCACAGAGGGTTTTAAGGGTTTGACTATGTCTCTCTGCTCCCCAAGAGAGCTGTTGCCCCTGAAGTGCAAGAAGAGGATCTGCTGCAGCTTGTGGAATTACTGCTCTGTGGAGTTTGTGCTGTGGGCAGGGCAGGGGTTGTTTGGACAAGGCAAGGAGAAGAGGATGTGATGGGTATAAAAGGCTGGAGCGCACAGAGCTAGCGTGATCAGGTTGCTCCTGATGTTTTCTTATACTTTAAGACTAATTTGGGATTTTCAGCCTTTTTTTCCAGCCTTTTCAAGCTGGAAAAGTTTACCATTTTATCCCTCATCCCATTAACCTGTGGGAATTGGCACCACGAGCTAATGCCTAACAGGTTTCCAAAAGAAAAGAAGGGAAAAAACTGCCCCTTGGATGTGTAATGAGGACATCTGCAGAGTGAGCTGAGCTCCTTTTCACTGACCAGAATAAACCCCATTTATAAGGGCCATAAACTGCTCTGCTCCAGGGCATTAAGCGAATCACTTGGCTGAGGAGCAGTGGCACAAGTCTCCCCTGTGGATTGGGGATTCCATAATTGTCCATTACAACCCTTCCCAGGCTTTCCTGTAAAGGCTGGTGCTGGCCATTGTGGGAGACAGGATACTGACTCCAGATGGACAGCTCTTTGATCCAGGACACTATTTCCTAGGCAAAAGAAAAGCCTACATCAGCTTTTTTTTTCCCCCCCCCCCACCTCTTCCTCTCCATGCCTAAATCTCATTAGTTTGACCTTTCTCACTTTGAGGAGCTGCTAAAGGGACACTGACAGGTTAAAAATCAGGTTTGCTTTTCTGTTAAGCCCAAATATGACAAAACTGAGGAGGAGAGATAGAGCTGTTTGCCTGTCTGTCTTCAGAAGGATAGAGCAGGTTCTTGCTTTGGGCTCCCAAAGCTGCTGGGATGCCATGTGGCCTCATCAGGGAGTCATTTGGGAGCATGTTTAGGGAAAAGGAGTAGGAGAACGCAAACCCTGTGTAAGCAGTGGAAAGAGCAGCCTTGACAGAGTATAACAAAGCATTGTGCACATGTTGCTAGGGAGGATGGAGAGATGCTGTCTAGTGTCATGTATCCCTGTCTTTTGCTGTTCCCAAGCAATCCAGGCCAGCAGACCCCAGAGAGTGAAGGAGCTGAACCTCAGCACAGAGTAGCTGGAGCTGCTCAGCCCCTTCCTGAGCACACCCAAGGCAGATTTTTATCTGAGGTTGGCCCTGAGCTCATAAAACTGATTCCCCCTGTGCCTCACCCCTCGGATTGAATAGGTCCCACTTCCCCTCTGTCTATTTCAGGAGCTGCTCAGAGCTGTGGGCTATTATTGCTCTGATAATTGCTTTTACCCACAGGAAAGGATTTTCCATGAGGAAGACGTGCCATGGAGCTGCACTTCTCTGCCTCATTTACTCACCCATGGAGAGGCCTGGAGCCAGGCTCCAGAGTTGCCTGAATCTCCTGTTCAGAGGAGATGGATAGTTCCAACCTGCCTGTTGGCCTTGTTTTCTTCCTGACTCCATGCTCCTTTCCCTGCAGGAACTCCCATCAATAGGATCCCCATCATGGCAAAGCAGATCCTGGATCTCTACATGCTCTACAAGCTGGTGACTGAGAAGGGAGGGCTGGTGGAAATCATCAACAAGAAGATCTGGAGAGAGATCACCAAAGGCCTTAACCTGCCCACCTCCATCACCAGTGCTGCATTCACCCTACGGACACAGTAAGTCAAAGGTCTGAGCAGGGATGCAGGGCCAGGAGCTCCTGGATGTGGCCCCAATCCCCTGCACCTCCCTCCATCCTGGCCCTTTTTGGCTCCTCAGAGCTGAAACACCTCAGGGCACAGAGGGTTTTGCACTGTCTGTGAAGGGCACATGGCACAGGGAAGAGGGAGAGCTCCTGATTCTAGGCATCAGGCATGAACCTGATCACGTAATGTTTGTTATCACTGGCAACTCAGAATTTAGCACCTCCTTACTGTGAGGTTTGCTTTGCTGCCCTGTAGGACCTGCTTTGCTGACCTGCAGTATTCAACTAGAGAAGGAAAAAAGGAAGTAGAAGTAGAATAAGCAGTGGAGAAAAAGGATGGTGAAAGTATAATACCTGTAAAATTGAAGCAACAGGGTGAAGCTGTGCTTTAGTGAGGAAAGAATGGGCTCTGGGAATCCACACAGTTTTCTTGGAAGTATTTGAACCCCTGAGCCCCAGAGAAGGAAGCTGCTTGCCATTTCCACAGCCTTTGGTACAACAGGCTGTCTCCTGCTAACCTGTCTGCCAGGATTCATCCAAGCTGTAAGGTTTAGTGCTGCCCAGGACAAGTGACATGGACAAAGGGTAATTCCTCAAACTTCCTGCCTTGAATTAAGTGTTGTGGTCCAAGGTCTTAGTTTCTTGGATTTCATATTCTTAGTTGTGAAGGAATTGTGGATGATTGTTGGGTGGTGTTTGGGTTGTGAAGGAATTGAGGATGTGGGTTTTTTTCTGCTCTTGTGGGTGTAGTAGTATGTAATGATGTGCTACCCTACAAACACTGAGTGAATGCAGAGCCTGAGAGCTGTGCCTCACACCCAGCCTGCCCAGTGCTTAGCACAGCTGTGTTTATGATATGCAAAGGCTCCAGATCCACAGGGGATCTTGGGTTGAAAGTCTTCCTGTCCCAGGAAGACTGGGCTGTAGCCTGTGATTTCATGTTCTGCACAGGAACCTGCTCAGGTATTGAGCTCTTCCGTCTGGCAACCAGCGACAGGACCCGAGGGAATGGCCTGAAGTTGTGTCAGGAGAGGTTTAGGTTAGATATTGGGGAAAGATTCTTCCCTCAGAGGGTGTTTGGGCACTGGAACAGCTCCCCAGGGCAGTGGTCATGGCCCTAAGCCTGACAGAGCTCAAGGAGTGTTTGGACAATGCTCTCTGGGTGAATTGTTGGGGTGTCCTGGGGTGCACTGGTGATCCTTGTGGATCCCTTCCAACTCAGGGTATCCTGTGACTGTGATGTGCCTGTGCTTCCTCTCCCCAGGTACATGAAGTACCTCTATGCCTATGAGTGTGAGAAGAAGTCTCTGAGCTCCCCGGCAGAGCTTCAGGCAGCCATCGACGGCAACCGGCGGGAGGGCAGGCGGCCCAGCTACAGCTCCTCCTTGTTCAGCTACTCACCCACCACCACGGGGCCTCCTTCCCTCCTGTCTCCCCCCAAAATCCGCTTCCCCATCATCGGTGTGGCGCCAGGCAGTGGGACCAGCAACCCTCGGGTGTCTCCGGCAGCAGCGGTCAGAAAAGGTCAGATACTCCTCACAGCTGGAGGCTCTGAAACACACTTGGTTGCCATTTTATAGGATGTTAAAGGGTTGGAATGGAACCTAGAGATCATCCAGTGCCAACCTCCTGTCCTGGACAGGGACACCTCCCACCAGAGCAGGTTGCTCAAAGCTTTAGCCAACCTGGCTTTGAACACTGCCAGGGCTGGGGCAGCCACAGCCTCCCTGGGCAAACTGGGCCAGTGTCTCACCACCCTCACAGGGAAAAACTTCCTGATATCTAATTAAATTTCCCTCTTTCAATTTCTCCCCATTGCTCCCCCCTCAGCACGGGGAGGAGGGAGTGCTCTTGATTCTAGGCATCAGGCATGAACCTGATCATTTAATGTCTGTTATCGCTGGCAACTCAGAAGTCTAGTGTCTCTTAGGACATTAGACTCTAATGTCTGTTAGGAACTGCAGTTCCTAACAGAGTCCCTCTGCAGCTTCCCTGGAGCCCCTTCAGACACTGGCAGGTTGCTCTGAGGAATCAGGCTGCTTATCCTTCCCAGCTCTGGATGTGAGAGTGGTGGGATTTGGGCGGGTCACAATGTCCTGCCTGTGGGTCAGACCCTTGTGTGAGGTACAAAGTGCTGAAGTGACTCCGCTCCTTCCCCAGGTGACGGAGTGCCCTTGACTGTGTCTATGCCAAATCGTATTGCTGTGCCAGTGACCTTGGCTAGCCAGCAGGCAAGTGTGGCAGCAAGAACAGCCACCCTGGAGCAGCTGAGAGAGAGGCTGGAGGCAGGAGAGCCCCCGGAGAAGAAGGTGTCACGGATGACGGAGGAGGAGCAGCGGCTGGTCCAGCAGGCCCTGCAGCGCAACCTGCTCAGCATGGCACGGCAGGTCCCCATGAAGGTCAAGATCAACGGCAAGGGTGAGCAGCAAAGCCAGAAAGCCTCTAGGAACTGCAGCAGGGAGGGAGACACTCTAGACACCTAGACAGCTTCTCTAAGCAACACAACAGGGACATCATGTAGGGACTTCCTCACCAAAGAGAGGACAAGAAGAGGGCTGTGCACCTCTCTGGGGAGTACAGGGAATGGGACAGTCACTCTCTAACTCTGCCTTTCTTCTTTCCTGGAAGAAGACAAGTCAGACTCGGCAGCAGCAGCAGCACTGAACGTGTCACCCAACGGCATTGGGAGCATTAACATGTCGGTGGAGATCAATGGCACCACTTATGCTGGTGAGGGAACCCCTCCTGGGGGGAGGGAGAGCCATCCTGGGGGGACAGTGGCATGTAGAGGGGGTGGCATGCTCCATGAGGCTGGTGTTGGCCACATTATGACCTGTCTGGGTTAGCACAGCAGGAGGTGGTTGCTGTTCTGTTTTGGGACCTGGGCAGGGTGCACACCCTTCCCTTGCTGTTAGTATTTGAAATCCAAGGGAAGGGACTTGTGTGGAAGTGCTGATAGGAAGGACTGTTATCCCTGTTCTCCTGAGGGGGGGAGCTTTTCCCCACGCTTGTGTGGGAAGCAGTTGTCCCCTGCACTCCACTCAAGCAGTTTCAGTGTGTGAGACACACCTGCACATCCCTGGGCAAATCCTAAGTGGGATGGGCTTCCACTGTATGGACTCTGCCATACAATGAAAGTTGCTTCCCTTCTCCAAAGGTGTAGGAACCGTTTGGGATCTGTCTCCTGTAAGCACAACATCCCTGTGACAGGCTGCCAGCACAGGGATCCCTTCCCTGACCAGCACTGAGCTCTGGTGTCTCTCCAAGCCTGCTCAAGGTGCCCTGAGCCTCTCTCTATTGGGATAGGATCTTTGGGGCTGGATAGCCTTCCCTTTGCTCTGTGTGCTGCCCTTCTCAGCTGTGCCACCCCCTAACCCTGCTCCCCACACTTTTGCCTACCAGGAGTGCTGTTTGCCCAGAAGCCTGTGGTGCACCTCCTCGCCGGCTCCAGCACCCAAAGCTCCTGCAGCAGCAGCAGCAGCTCCCACTGCTCCCCCAGCCCTACCTCATCCCGGGGAACGCCCAGCGCCGAGCCCTCCACCAGTTGGGCTCTCTGATGGTCGGCCCAGCCCTGTCTCACACTGGCCTCCAGCAGCTCCAGGAAGGAGTGGCACAGATACCTCATCTCAAGGAACCTGCTCGTGTGGTTGGCCAACGGCAAGATGGTGATGATGATGATGATGCTGACGCTGAGACCTTTCCATGCCAGCGAGTTGTTGTTCATCATCTCTTTGTCAGGCCTTTTTTGCTTTGTTCTCCCCCTTTCTTCCTCCCTTTTGCTTTTTGTTTTCCTCCTCCTCCTCCCTCCAGAGTTTGCTGTGTTCCTGCTGGGGGGTGGGACACGGAGGGGGCCATGCCTGGCGGTTTTCAATCAGGGATGGGCTCTAGGAGCTGTGGGTTGAGACATGGCTGAGATGTCACCAAGGCAGGTGGAAAAGTGCTGGAGTTGGGGCAGGGAAACTTGGTTCTCCTTGACCCAGGAGCCACAAGGACCCTTCCCACCACCCAACTCCGTGTTTTGACAATCCTAAGAGCCGGTGGGATGCCTTGCCCCATCCTCCTGTGGCTTGTGTTGCTTTTCTCCCTCAGGCCCTGCTGGGGGCTGGTGTCATATGTCCTCATGGGAGGCTTGAGTGCCTCCTTCCCCCTCTCCGTGGTTTTGGCATGAAGGAAGGACTTCCTCCCTGCCCTATTAACACCCTCTCCATCGGCTGCTTGGTTCTGGCTGGTGCTGGCCTCATCCCTCCTGTTGCCTTGAGGCTCTCAGCCAAAGTTTTCCATGCCCTTGACCTTGTGTGTCTCCCACAGGGAACTCATCCCAGTGACATTTACCCTGACAGCCTGAACTTTGTGGCTCAGTGTCTGATCCTTTGCCCCCATGACACTGTCACTTGGGTTGATCCAGGCTTCCTGGAGTGACTTCCTTCTCCTGAGGTGGCTTTCATCAGCCCCTGGAAGCTCTCCATGTCTGTGTGCTGAGGAGTAGAGGTGATCTCTGAAATACACCTCAGCAGGACCGTGGTGTGTGCATAGGTGTTGTGGTTCATGTTACACACATGGGGTTGGGGCTCTGAACAAGCCCATGGCAACCCAGGCCCCTTCAGATTGTACCTGAGCAGGTGAAGACCTTCTGCTCACCAGAGGGAAGCAGAGAACAGGAAATCAAGCCCTTCTTTGCCCTTTCCCCTCAGACCTCCAGCTGGAAGCAAGCAAAGCTGGCCCCGACTCCAGGAATCAGCTCCTGCTCAGGTGGCCTTGTGCTGTCCCCTCTCTCATCTGAGAGCTGATCCAGCCTCCATCCCTCCTGCCCTGGTGACATCTTTCCCATCCCTCCTGCCCTGGTGACATCCTTCTCATCCTCCAGGCCCAAGTCAGGTTGTTTTGAGCAGATGAAATACCTCAGCTATGTACTTGTTGTTGGGTTGTTTTTGTTTGTTTGGGGTTGGTTTTTTTAACCTCTTCAGGAAGTATTGGCATATCTTATCGCTTGTTTTTTTACTCTGTGGCTTTGCTGACATTGTGTTTGTTTTATTTCTCCATTTCCCAATGTCTCACCAAAGACAGAAAGGTAAAACAAGGCTGAGCAAAAGAGCAGTGGCTTCCCCATCCTTTAGGCCAGCAGGAGCTGAGGTCCAGCATCATCCCAGAACATGTGCACAACAGGAGGACAGGCAGAGGCAGGAAGAGAGGGCAGGAGTGCTGCTCGCTTGGCTCTGTCCTTTCTGTTGGGAACAAGAGTGTCCCCAAAGTCTCTCTTGCTTTTCTGTGCTCCAGGATCCATGCTGATGTTGACTCAGATGCTATGACCTGAGTTATCCTGCTATCCTGAAGTCTTTCCAGGAGGCAGAGGGTGGGAATGCACATGTCCTGAGATGGATGCTGCTCCAAGATATCCCATCCAGTTGCCTTTGGGCATGGGGAAGCTAGGCTGATCCCTCAGGCCTCCAGAGCATTTCATCCCCACAGATTCCCAGAGGATTTTCCAGACTCTGGGGCTCAATCAGATTAGTTTTTCCCTCTTTTTTTTTTTTTTTTTTTTTTTTGGTTTCTTTTGGTTGTTTTGTTTATTTTATTTGGGGGTGGGGTTGGGGGCTGTTTCCTCTGAGTGGGACTGGGGCACTTTTGGCTTTTCCTTCTGCTTTGTTCTCCAGCCCTGGGGAGCAGAGGCTGCTCCGGGGTGGGTTTGCTTCTGTCTCACATGCTAACGTTGTGTTCTCTTGCACAGAAAGGCACTCGAATCACTGAACTGCTTGGACACTACTAGAGTATTAATGTTTATAAGCTTTACACAACTTAGACTGGAACTAGCCAGGGACTAACAGATTGTTTTGTATCCAATTCAGGGAAAGAATCAAGTCGGGATGTGTAACAGATACCTCAGTTTAATAAGCTGCAACAATAAACTGGTCCTTTCTCAGTCCAGGGTGACAAGGACCATTCAGACTGTGAAGAGTTAACCCTTTCCCTAAGCCTGGCTTGGATCCTGGCAGCTTGAGCCTCTGGATCTCCTACTGAGCTGCCAGGCTTTGGGGACAGGGTTGTGGAAACCAGCAGCAGAGCCTGGGAAGGCTGAGCAAAGGGCAGTGGGTCCTTCCCTCTGCTCCAGTTCATCGACTGTGTAGTACTCAGGGTTTGCTACTGCGAGTAGGACTGTTCCTGTGTGAAGTGCTCCGCTTTGCAGTGTGCTCCATCCTCTCTCAACTCCACACCAGCCAAGGTTTTGCAGTGAGCAGCCAAAAAAAAAACAAACCAGCCCCCAGCTTGCTCCTCCCGTGCAGCCTCCACACTCCTCTTTCCAGGGTGGGGAGATTTGCCAGCTGGGAAAACCAAACCAAACCTGATTCCAGCAGCTCCCAGTTGGTGCTGGAAAGGCACAAAGATTGGGATGAGAGGGGGAGGCTGTGTGTGTGCCTGCTCAGCTCCCAAAGTGAATGTGAACGTGTCACACCAAGTCCTTTTGGCCACTGCACGTGTGTGTGTGTGTGTGCTGTGAAGGGCCTGGGCTCAGATGTTCTCACCAAACAGCTGCAGCAGCCTTGCTACTAGTTTTCTTACCTATTTAAAAAAATAATAAAATAAGTAACTAAAAAAAAAGAAATGTGATAGCCTAGGCGGTGGATAAATACCTCAACCTCCTTCCAACAAGTGTCTGTATATGTTGTTGTTGGGTTTTTTCTATCTTACAGGTTATCTGAATGTTTATATTCCAATAAACTTCTACCTCTTCACACTGTGACCCCTAAGCCTGCTTTGTGCCCCCTTCCAGCTCCATAAAGTTAGAGATTTCCCGTTTTTTCTTCCCAGAGGTTGGGTGAGGGCTGGGGCCTCGCAGGACCTTTGTGCTCCCAGTTTGTAGGTGGGATGTGGAGCCGGGCTGGTGGGATACTGTCTGGGGTAGGGGCTGGAATGATGGAGCTTCCAGGTTGGATACTGACAGGAACCACATGGGATCTCCTTCTCCAGGTGTTGCTGAAGCCTCTGTACCTGCTCCCTGTCCCTTATCCAGGCTGGGGCAGGAGCCTGTCTCCCAACTCCCTCCTGTGTTGCTTCCTCCTCTGCACAAGGACATTTAATGCTTCCTGACACTTTTGCTGTTTGCACAGCACCTGATGCTGTTTTTCCAGTCATTGAACTAGTTTGGCAGTGAGAGAGGAACTGGTTCCCAGTCCCTTCTGTCACTGTGTCTGCATTGGTTTTGGCTGAGGGTCCACCCGTGCTGGGATGGGGATGGAGCACAGGAATTCCCACCACGGAATTGAGACCCTCTCCCCTCCTGCCTTGCCCCTTCCACCAGCACAGCTGGGCACCCCCCATGGCTGGGGCAGCTGGTGGAGCCTCTTGCTCACCTGGGCTCTGGTCCCAGCCTATCCCAGCAGCAGGCAGTGAGGGCAGAGCCTTTCCCCCACCTTCCCTCCCCTCCTGCCCACTCTGCCTTTGGCTTTTCCCAGCTCTGGCTGAGGCAGCTGAAGGACTCACCTGCCCTCACCTCTCCCTAGAAGTCTGATGGCCGAGGCAGGTAAGGAGGACTGTGGCAATAGAGGGGGAAACACCTTCAGTGCACACTGCCGTGGGGTTTATCCACCTGCAGCCTTGGGGTAGGAATGGGCTGGGCTGGAGAGGTATCTCCCCTCCGGGGGCTCCAGGGGTGCTCAGACACTGGGTCACAGGTCTCAGGAGGCTCTGCAGTTCTGTTCTCTGCTTGGTGCTGCATGTCCCTGTGCAGGATCCTCTAGCCTGGCTGTCCCAGCACCCCAAGGTGGGTGCCCCAAGGGGTCCCACGCACCATCCTAGTCCTCCAGGAGCCGCGTGGAGTGGACAGGGTGGGCAATTTCCAGCCCTCCCAACTTGCTGTCCCAGGGCTGCACAGCCGCGGGCATTGGCAGGCGCTG